GCCACGCCAGACGCTCTGTCTGGTCCACATCCAACAGCGCGAGGTCGTTGTCTACCTGTACAACTGGATGTGGGAGGACGCCGATCGTCTTGTTCATCGAGTCGAGTCCCTCGTCAGCTGGTACAATCAGCGGTTTCAGGTGGATTCAGTTTTAGATAGTGTGCGATTGTGTTCATGCATCGTAGTTGTGCTCCGTTTCCTACCAATCATATAAATACTTTCCACCCTAACAACTATTGCTAAAAATCCAGATTTGAATTCCAGATATGCTGTCCATTTGGCGAAAATTGCCTTTAAGCAGAAACAATAAGCATTATTCAATGTTTTGGAACCCCACGATTCCCCCTTCAGAATCTCCGTCTGTCTGGCTAACAAAGTTTTCTCGATTTGCTGAAAATTTGCACATTGCCGTTTAATTCAACTGAGTTTACATGCAATTTGTACCCAGCCTGATCACAACCACTGACAACCTGGAAGACATTTGTTGTAATTACTTGGAATATCTCCTTCTTTTTCGCGTTTAAGGAATGAAAGCAAAGTCGTTGCCTCGAAACACAATCCGAAGATCCACTGTGGGACACTAATTCGCTTGCCCTATTTCCGATAATTCTGAACTGGATCGAAGTTGATTGTCCTTACAGCGTTCCACCACCCCACTTTTGACGTTGTAACGTTCCAGGGGGAATTCCTCATCCACTGATAGTTTTGCTTTCACCGCAGACCCTACTGTCAACAGTAGTTGAACTAGTCAACAACAGTGCTTGGATAAATCTACTCACAATCTGTGGCTCTCCTTCCGGTGGCATTCTACTAATCCAGAACCGAACCAGTTGTAAAATAACAGTGATGGAAGCAAAATATGTTGCCCCATTCCTGCCAAAAAGCAAACTGGCAGTACCGAGAATAATTTAAACTGTGTCATCCTCTAGTCAAGCATTATGTGCTGGGACAAGTCAGTTCTAGGTCGCTAACGACATACCTTCCACGAATATGCCTTCGCACAGATGCTCATCGCTGTTGTGTTATTAAATATCATTTGAATTCGCCGAACATCCACACATGGTCACATCTGTGGAGGACTAACTCCTACTGTGGAAGATTACCCATCGATGTGACCATTTTTCTCATTTGGGCAGTTGATTTTGTGATTACAATAAGCTGTCTAGTGAACTCGACCTGTCCTTGAGTCAACTCCTTGGGGATAGCCTTGTAAATTGGAAAGAAGTGGTTGACTAAGACAACCCAATCTGTAACTTTGTTGTTGAAACACCCTAGCTTCTGAGTTGTCTGTCGCTGCAAAAGATGGGTCTGTTCCATTGCCTTCGAACGCCCAGTCACCTCGGACTCCTGCGATGTGCTGCTGCGTTGGGCGAACACGTCAGTCCCCCCGAGCTCTCACCCCTGGCAGCGCCGGCGTCTACTGGTGGTGGTGGCGGAGGGTCTGCTGTGCCTGCGACGGTCGCCACGACTCCGCACAACCCTCCAGGTAGCGCTGCCGCCGCAGCTTTGGTCGCTCCGACCCCCTCCGCCCCCGCCTCCCTGCCCACCGCCAGCATCCGCCGACGCTTCCTCGAGGGTCTTGTTGGTGCGGGAGCTTGTCCGTCTGAAGCGCTTCACGCCACCCTCTCCACGGCTCTCTCACCTGGAACACCGTCTGGCGGCGATGTCTCGGTTCAACCGCATCCCCCGCAGCAGCGTCTTCGACAGGGCACCACGGCGGAGGCCGACTTCAATCTCACACGCCTCTACCAGGTAACTTTCTGTTCAATTTCGCTACGTACTTTCTTAATTATCATACTGAGTTTATTTGTTCTCTCAAGGACTGCGCCCAGATTCCTGCGCTACACACTGAGTCGGGACGCATAATCGACGTAGTGCATCTTCACGTTGGACAGGCACTTCGAGCCATTCAGAACGACACGCTTCGAGCCGGTCAACTGCGTCTGGTCACCGCTCCACTGAAGGCGTGGATGGGCGGCGACTATTACGTCGGCGATAGCTCCTCCGCCGCGGCCACAACGACGACGTCTTTGAACCGACCAAGCCCCTCCGCATCGGACCTCAGGGTGAGGATTTCGGCCAAGCCGGAAACGGTTAGAATATGAGTGTACTTCAATTCAGCATTTTGTGAATTCCCGCCTCCATTTTCGGTAGGATGGCTCGGCTCCGTCCGTCTTCTACTCCGCCGTGAAGAAATTCGGTCGCACACTTCACACCGTCTGCTCACCGATCCTCTTTTGCCCGCTGGCTCGTTCGGAGGCGCTCCGCTTGCGCGAGGTCGAAAGATCAGCAGAGGAGGCCTACAGCAAATTGTCCGAGAATTCAGAGACTTCCGAGGTGTCGCTTACCTCTGCCGCCACGGCTGTGACCTTGCCCACGTCGCCTAGCAACCGGACGCACGACACCTCACGCGATATGACCTCACCTGTTCTTGCGCTTTCGGGCAAAGTAAGGTACGAATCGTACAAGTGTGTCACCTGCGTTGCTTCTGGTTTCTTCTCACACTACCGTTTCTTTAACCTCCTGCACCGTCGCCATATTGATTGATTCTATCGTGAAGGCTGCGTTCCCTCGACAACACCGCTGTACTCTTTTTCATGTGAAGGAGCACATCGAAATTAAGTTCCATAGAAGTAGACAACAGCACTGCAATTTGCCTTCAAAAGACGGCAGAAGTTATTCTGTGAAATTCCAAAAGCCTTGACTCCGGATGTGGAAATGTTTTCGCTGGCATTTTAGACAAATGGCAAGTGATTCGGGTGGCTTTGAGTTCTTGTCGACGGCAGAGTCACCGAAACAGGAGAAGCAGCGGGTCCGTCGCCGACGTCCAGTGGTGAGTCGCAGGAGCAGAGTTCGGCGACCTTCAGGGAGGGTTCCACAACCGACCGGACCACTGGCAGCTCCTAGCGAACAGCCCGCATGGATGCAGCAGGCGGGTGACGCGCTTCTGCAGGAATTCATCGCCTACATGACCCGCCAGATGCACTTTTACGTCATCAAGTGCTCCCTCGATGGTGACAATGAGCCTTGGTCCTGCAAGATGAAGCACCCCTACGCCCTGCTCCAACGCTCCGTCAAAATGGCGGGCATCCACTTACTCGAGGTGGGCAGGTTTACTTGTCCCCTTAACTAGTCATGGAACAGCGTCATTGACCCATTTCGCGTCTGCCTGCCTCTAGGTCTTCATCCGGCACTCGCTGTTTTGTGTGCGCCTGAAGGCGGTGGAGTTGTGTCGTTTCACGCGGGCGGCCTCGCGCGGCATCGTGACAGGCCCCCTGGCCGCCGAACAGGTCGGTCGAGCAGCGGCTGCGGCCGCGGTCAAAATCACCTCCGCCATAATCGCCGCCGACGAGTGCCAACAGCGCCGAAACACCGTCGCCGCCTCCCCACCCTCCAACGCCTCGGTCGCCTCCCCGTCCAATCCGTACGCAATCAAGTGGGAGGAGTCCAGCCGCCTCTGTGATTGCGTCCACCTGCACTCCTTCCTCTACGACTTCTACCTCAGGAATGTCGATGTGTTTTTGAAAAGTGAGTTTTGACTGCTTCTCGAACCACACCTGGGTCACCTTAGAGAAATTCTGAAAGACTGGAAAGCCCAGAGATTGCTGAGACACCACTGGTTTCAAGTTGGTTCAATCTTGACGTGTTTCTTCGCGTGTGTGCACTCAAGATCGTGCCCTCATATTAGTCTTAACCGTACTCAAGCGCGACAAAACAAATGTGGGTTCTTAACCAATAGGCTTCGAGTGAACTCACGAAACAGGGCGGTGTATCAGTGCTAATCGTTAATGTATAACCGCTGTTCGTAAGACGTCACGGACATCGCTATTTGGTGCTACTGTAGTGTGATTCTTACCTTCAAAATGTGCTCATACCTCAGCCTACTTTTACAAATTGTCTCTAGAGAATCACATGCCCAAGTGGTGCAAACGGAAGACGGGAGGTCACACCACCTTAGCCGGAATGGGACAGCGAGTTCCGCATCCATCAATGTCACTTGAACAGATGCCTCAACTTTGCAATTGTATAGCTAGTTTGTGCCTGTTGCAACAGTTCGCCACTGGAAGTGCCAAAGATCACCCTTCGATTCCCAAACACCGTGGTTGACTGGTTAAACTACTGTTGCTGGTTGGGTCTGTAGCGGCTAGAGATTTAGCACTACCTTACAACCCTCTAGTTAACAGTGGACGCAACCGGTTTATTGGTGTCAAAGCGGCCAAGTGGCTTTTTGCGCGAATGAGTACGCGTGCGTAAAACAGGCGAATGCTGACAAGCCAATAACAAAAGGGGTGAGTCATTGGTCCACTCGGGCCCTCATGCACGCATCACTCACGCGAGGTGGCTGTCAATTCAGTACAAATCTGCTTTGAGACCAAAACTGTCAGTGGAAGAGGAATATCCGCCGGAACACAGCAAAGTCCAGAGCGGGTCGGTGGAGCGCTGTAAGGGCAATCGTTGCCGTCTTTGACATGGAGGTGCGCCTGCCGACGAAAACGACGGCGATCGAGTTCAGGTTTATAGAAAACACGGCCGATGAATTGGTGCTTCATTGTGGATCATCGGATTGTGTTTTTTGGGCAAATGACTTTCGTTTCACTTATTCAACGCGAAGTAGAAGGAGGTTTATCAAGTCATTCTAGCAAATGTCTTCCAGGTTGTCAGTGATTTGATCAGGATGGGTAGGATCACAAAACTGCCGTCAAATGACAAGCTAATTACGTCGATTCGAATGCAGCTTCCTGCAGTCCCAGCAAATTGAAAGGACTCGGTTCGACTTACAAATGCTACTTGCACTTCTTCTTTCCTGGTTCTAGGGCAATCGGAGCTGATAGGCCAGCGTATTCAAGTGCCCAGCCTGACGTGGTCGCTGGCACAGCCGCCCAAGCAACAGCGCGCGTTTTCTCAGGTAGCGCCACGCGCGTCTCGACCCAATGTACCCCTTCGACACCCCTTCCTGCCCGCCACCTACCCGATTGTCGCCTTTTTGTGCGACCTCAGCGTGATTTCGCCGCTGGCACCGGTGTTCGCGCGTGGCACCTTCACGCGTCTGCGGATGCGCCTGCCTGTGGACTCGCGGATCAAACCGGAGCAAGTGTTCGAGCACCTCATCGAGGAGCGACAGGCCTACGGCTTCAAGGTGCGCTCTCTCGGTTACGCGTCTGGGCATCTAACGCAGTCTACTCGTGTTATTTCCCTTCACCTTCTCTAGGCATTCGACCTCGGTGTGAACTCGTCTTTTCCAACGTACGATCGCTTTGGGTTTTGCAACTTCTCCTTGGCTCAAGGACAACCTCTCACGGCAACTCCCGACTGCCAGAGGCGGGTGTCCATGTCGCGGCAGTTCTCCCATCGAACTTCCACCAACACCACCATCCTCCAACCCTCCGATTCAGCCCTTCTTATCGCCTCGCAATCCGTCGCCGTCCCTCCCTCAAACGACTCAGACGTCGTCACCTTCAACAACAGCTACGACGATAGCAGCTCCAGCTCCGGTGGAGAGTTGTGCAGTGTCGGGGAGGTCGAGGAAGAAGAGGAAGACGAGGGAAACGTGGAGTTTGCAGAAGCCATGCTGAGAAAACGACCACGCCACAAGACCTCAGTCGACTCCTTCATGCCGCAAATCAGACTGCCGACGCTGAAACACTTCTCGGTCGCGTGCGCAGGCTTCTTGGATCCTCCGGTAGACGACGGCTGTGACAGCGACGACGAGGACGTGGAGCGAACTGGGCGACCCATCGAGTTGTCCATCTTCGTCATCCTCACCGATCAGTGCAGGCTTTTTCCCCGCGCCAGACTCTCTTCCCTCCCAGACGGTTTAACCTCTGAGGTACGCTTCAATCGATAATTGTGCGAGCATTCGGTAAAGCTTACGCCAACTAGTTTCAGCGTCTCGCATAATGCTCAAGAGTAATACTGCAGCGTCCTTGTTTTAAAAACAGCAAGCGTAAATGAGGTTTGGTTGGTGTGTTCGCCTAAAAACCTTGATGGAAATGTTGTACATCGTTGGGGGATATGTCTGGGTAATTCAGGTGACTTGGCTAAGGTAACACTATAGCCACTTTCACGTACGACGATCCAATCACTTTCAACCCTTGTTTTACCTCCACTTCTTCTAGCGCTCATCGGCTCGTCGCCAGGTAAGTTCCATTCCGGAGATCGTTGCGTCATCTTTGTCTAGTTGCTACTTACCAGGTTGGTTCGACTTTGTCTGCTATTGTGGTGACGATAGCCACAGCTTGTTAGTTTCACTAGTCTACCACAATGCGTTCGTCGTTGATGTGACGTTTTTGGTTCTTTGTTTACATAACAGCCATAAGGCGGGTGATTCGATTTACGTGGCCTTGGGGAGGCACTCAAGAGATCCCCCCCCCAAAACGTCACAATCAGATCGAGTCAAGCTTCGCGAACGGCGATTTTGCCAAATTTACAACTAGCTCTAGTGTTGGATCCAACTTTCCAATAATGGTGAATTCGGAAATGCATATTAGATTAAGCCATTACAACGTGGAAGGTTATCCTCTGGGGTTAACTCAGGGATGAAATGTCGATCGATAATTTCTCATAATCGCCAGGGGGCCACTTCTGTGGAGTTCAAATTTTGGACATCTAAATCGCATGTAACTGCACGAGTGATGATTGTAAAGTAGCTTTGATAACGATCTTGTTCGACTTGACGATTTGGTGCATGTACAAGATCTCCCCGCCTTCACACAAGATAAATTTTCAACTCAACTGTTTAAGTGCATTTTGTGCACTCTCGTCACATTAGTTCAGTCTATGTACAGTTTTGGCCTCTTTGTGAATCTGATGTGACCTTGACATTAATTAAACATTTTTTATACACCGTAATAAGCGAATAGTGATTGATTTGGCAGAATCTTCGCGTCTCTACGACCGATTCGCCCATGTTTTTGGTGTGCTTCCAAAACCAATATGCTGAATGCTCGCCAGCGAGTTGTAACAAATCGGCGATCTCGTGATTTTCCTCTCACTGTGTGTGTGAATGTATGTTTGCGGTTATCTCTGCCGCGGAAACGCTTGCCACAATGTAGCTGTGTGTTCTTAGTAAAGCGTAGTGTTGCCCTTCGTTTGTTATTCCTCCTCGCCCCCCTTTCCCTCAAATAACCGTCGCCTTCACCCTCCTCCTCAAACTTTTTTCCTTCCAGCACCAGACACCGGTGCAGTGGCCAGCGATTCGACCGGGTCTGAGCTCCGAGAACGACCTCAACACCCTCTCGCCGAAACTCGTGCGCTCCGGCAGTCAGGAGGGCGCGCCCGACATTCGGGGTGAGTTCTTCTTCTTCTTCTGTGTGGAATCGTCAAGACCTGAAGGGTGTTAATTCAAATAGGTCTTTTTCCGCTATGTTACCGTGGGCATGGCGCTTCGTGGAAATTCGTTGTAAAGTGCTTGAAAACCAGAACTGAATAATCCATCTTTACGTTCATTGGTCCACAGGTGAAGCTTCTGTTTTGACCTTCCCACTGGTTAGTGGAAGTCGCCGTCGTCACACCTCCATGATGATTCGTAGAAGCGGTGACTCGGTGACAGGTTCGGACGCCGCCGCCGTCGTCGCCTATGGAAAGGGTGCTCCACGCAAACCGACGACCAGTACCTCCCAATATCCTGGTGACACGGTGGTTCTACAAGGCGACCCGGGTCTGCGCTGGAAGATCTCCTACCTCGGTGTTTGGCCCTCGCACCAAATCGAGCTGCGCCGCGCGCTGAAGCTCGTCCGACAGGCTTGGTTCATTAGCCTGCCCCACATTGTTAACTCCGCCATGATTAACTGCCACAAAAACCTTCTTTGGTACCGTCTTTTCGACCCGCAGTACTTCCCCCGACCAGCCAAGGAAGACGAAGAGGAGGAGGAGGAGGTGGAAGAAGCACAAAAATCTACCGCTAATTCATCGCCTGAAATTGGTGAGGAGGTGGCCAGTCTCTATGGTAGCTCCACCGAGGGTGGTCAATTCGCTCATAAAGGGCTTTCAAGTGAAGAATTCCAGGTGCCTGATTTTTCACATAGTTTGTTTACAACTTGGCGATTAAGGTTTGCATTGACGGCCGCTGACTCTTGTAGGACTTGCTCAACTCCGCGCCTCTCAAACTGGATCTGCTTCGGCTGGATCCACGACTTACTGAACTGCTGAAGCTAAGTGGAAAACACCTGACGTCGTCCCTAGTGCGGCGAATAAACTCGGCGTGGTGGGCGGAGGCGTCGCAGGCAACCACTAACGCGATCGCGTTCTTCTTTGAAAGCGACGACGCTGAAGGTACTTGGGTGCACCTAGGCGTTATCCTGCCGACGTATCGCGAGGGAGTCATCCACATCAGTTGGCTGCGGGAACACGAGGCGCCCGAGGAACCACCGACAGTGGTTAGGCAGGAGGAGCGACCCGCGGAGATAGCCCGACCGCTCCACTCCAAACTCTCCCTACTCCTTCGATCGGTTCTTGCAACACGAGGAGCCCCCGTGGAGGGCGTTTCGCTGGAGGAAACCACTGGAGACTCCGCCACGCGTTTGCGCGTAAGTCCCAGTTTCATTTTTTCGACCACATGCTTTACACTTATTTTAGATTTAAAGACTGATTAGTCAACGTTATTAGACGCGCCAATAACTACTTACAGTTTTCTGGAGGCCAAACCATGTAGTATTGGCAGCATCTATCATTTCTAGTCAATCCTGAAGAAGGACATGGCTGAGAAATGATCACCGACATTTCTGCTCTTTAGGATTTCAGCATGCGAGTGGTCTTCCGAAGCACCAGCAGCCTAGAGGTCTCTCTGCGCAATTCCACGGTTACCAGTAGCTCTACGTACCCTCAGTCCTCTATTGCCACCTTCTACCGAACACCCCTGATGAACACACTCAAGTTCCTAGTGGAACTCCTGACCTACCATATCTGGCGTGATCTACACACCCAATCAAACTAGCTGCCTCATTTGCCGCAAAATAATCCCTGGTTTTGTCTTCCGGCTTCTTTGACATTACTTGATGCTTGTGGCACTTTGTAAAAAATCTTTTTTCTACATTTAAATACACACATGCTTGAGAGTTCCTAGTTCACAAGCAAGCGAAGCCAGTGTGCGGAGAGTAGGTTCGAACCACATAGGTGAAGTAGCGCTGGAAGTGCATCTATGAGTTTTCATCAGACCACCACACTGACTATAACGGGAATTGCGGATGCGCTCTAACACAATTGCGAAGCCTATTTCGACCGCGACCCGTATGTGGGCCAATTAACCTACTTTTGCACTTCCCACCAAGGAGATTAGCTGTTGAAACACTGGGCTCGATTGCATACCCATGAAGCAATGCAATCTAGCGAGCAAACAAACGCAGCTTTACATAGATTGTAATAGAAGACTCGTTACTTTTTCTACCACTTGAACCTTAACCAGATTTAAAAACCGCACACGAAACAATGAGTTACAATCAATCGTAGAATTTACAGCAAATTCGTATAAATTTAAATCGTTAATATGTACAAGGGAAAAAATACCCTATCTGCGCAAACAGCTCAATCATCATAACTTCGAGAACTTTTCTGGCGGTGTTTTCGCTCACGACTGTCGTCGCGATGGCGCCTACCATTCGACTTGTGGTGTCTGTCGCGTCTCCTGCTGCGGGACCGACTTCTAGAACGACTGCGTCGTCGCCTTCGTTCACGACTCCTTTCCCGGTCGCGTTCACGCTCACGACTTCTTTCACGCTCCCTGCTGTCACGACGAACCTCTTTTCGAGGTAGTGAGGCATCTTCGCGCTGTTTCCTCACCAGATCATTTTCTGATACATACTTCCTAAGAGCCTCCAGCTTTTCGCGAATAGTGATAAATCCAAGATGCAGTTTGCCACCAAAGTGGTCCGCGAGACGGCGGTCGTTGTCGTGAACGCCAAGGTACGCCGAGCAAACATCGCACACCCGAAGTTTCTGCTGCTGATAAGTACTCACCGGGATAGCATTACGTAGATCAGCCTCGTGCTTAGCCTTTTCGGCATTGAGCTCGTCGACACGTTCCATTAGCTTCAGCGACTCTTCAACGTGACCATCAGCGCCCTTCTGCTCAGCCTTCGCTAAAGTTGTTCCAATTTCCTCGCTGAGTTTGTTAATTTTCTCAACTTGGGCAGCTGCCTCCTCGGTTAATTCCTCTTGGGTTTCCCGCAATTTGGCCTTAGCGTGTTCCGTGCGCCGATTACTTTCAGCAATAAAAGTCTCTAAATGCCGAAGGGCCTAAGAAGCAACTGAGGAGGAAAATAAACGACATACGTCTACTTCATAATAGTAAGGGCGCTTTTCGGCTTCACGGCGGTAGTCGGACTTAAGACCAACTTCATGCGAATAGGGACACTCCCCAAGATCCATGCGCTAAAACAGGCATGAGCTAGAAAAACGAAACGTACCGTCCCCGACAAAATCTCATGCGGACAGCAGTCGAGGAGGAAGCTCTTGCAAACCCTTGGATCGTCGAACTCGATTCGGCGCTCACCTCCTGTTCACCGATTTAAGATAATGGTTAAGTAAAAAATGCATTAGCTTAGATGTCCATACCCTAGTCGGCATTTACTTACATGACTTGGAAGTCAACCGAATAACAACTTTCATGGCATCACCTTAAAAGTAAGAGAGACCAAATGTAAACAGTCGCTGATTTTTAGCTGTTTCCCTAGTTACACTAATCATGTATCCCCTTAAGACAAACACAGACAATGACCGAGTAAGACATTTTGATGTGAGTAAAACCGCAGTGTAGCCTTCTTACCATCTCTAGATGCACCCATGAGTTCATCCAGCAGACTCCGCATTTGATCCGTCGCCGACATCGCCTCGAGGAAATACGTTAGTAGCCCAAAACTAAAATCGAAAGCAGGTTAACAGTAGATGTTCACTAAAACAAGAGTCAAAAAAAGTTTCATCTGACAATAATGTGTAATCTAAACTAAGTTTTGTAACTTTTGTAAGCAAGCATTATTCTTTAAAAAAATTGTCGTTGATTTAGAGCTAAATGTTTTTTAATCCTTGATGAAATTTTAAAATTTCTAATTACACAATTAAAGTTTGTCTAATAACATGTGGACGTGACAACAATGCCTAGATTATTAAAAAACAAAAAAATCTCTATATGATTATGATAGGTGCTTTAACTAAAAGCTGTCAAATTTTAATCTACCTCTTATCCATTTCTCTTTTTCACATACTATGTAAAATTAAATGTTTTTTTGTGCAGTTTAAATCGGAAAAAATTTCGAAAGATTGCGTGTTATATTATAAAAAATACTAGCGAAATTTGATTAAAATTTTAAATTCTCAATAGCTTTTATTACTTGTGGTCCTTGTTAACATGTCTGGGTTAAATAATTGTGTTGTTTCTGATGGCTGCAGCTACCAAAATGTGACATGATAGCTATTAAATTTATCGGCCTTTTTCGCATGATTAAGTTGCTTTTAAATTCATTACTAATAACTTCTTAGGTCCTGCACATACACCAACAAAATATGTTTTTCATTGTCAGATAAAATGCTATAATATTTATGTTTGGAATTACACAACGGACTTATCATTATATAAACAGTCGTGGAATTTTAAGCATTATCATAATAAACAAACACGCACTTTCAGCGTGGTCAGTCATGATATGCTCAATCTCTTCATCAAAATTGTTGTAACATAAAGTTTTTTTTGCATATTCTGTTGATCATGCAACACTATGCGTAAAATATTCCTATGGCTCTAAACACAGATCAGACTAGCTTTGATTAACTAGTTCTGTTTTTTACCTTTTGACCTACACAAAATAGTTGTGTAAGGTTTGCGAGCTATCAAATGGTAATATAGCCTCAATTCCTGGTATTCCTAATCTATTTGACCCAGACATATATTTTAACCACATCAATATAATTAAGAAACATTGGTGATGTTTTGCTAGGTCACTGTGGTCTAAACCACCCTTTTGCAATTGCATCAACTCGGGGGGACAACGGCACGTCTCTTCTAGCATAAATCAACGCAATGACCGTAGTTGGCACCAGTGTACAGATGCATTGCATAAATTGTCTGGTTAACTAATGGAGGGGCGGAGCACCAGATCTGGGTTTTGTCAAATCAATTTGCAGTATTGAATGACATTTACTTTATCACAAAACACTTCTTATAAAAGAAAGTTTGATATTAACCTGCATATTTGAACTGAAGTGGAGAAGAAACCTGTAATCAATGAAGTTGAGTTGTGCTTAGGTTCTGATTAAGTGGAAATGTGGCGACATACTTTTGTGTAAACAATCCTGACTACACCAAGCACCGCAAATCCTCCGACTTAAAAAGCAATAAACGGCGCAGTGGTCATCATACCTGACTCGGATGGGCAATTCATGACGCTCGGTTCTGGCCTGTGGTCATTTAATAAAGCGTTGCCTTCGAACATGACAACTTGATACTAGGGTTTTATGTATTCTGTTTGTCCTTTAGTATTTCTAATACCGCAAAATTCAAAGACCCTGTTTTTGGTGTCATTTTAAGCCTTGTGTTAGTTTTTAAAGCCTAAGACCTAATTAACTGCGCATGCCAAAATTTTCAGATAGTAATTTTTACCTGCTTTAAGTCTAAATGAGACGACATTTTAACTCATGATAAAAGGCAATTAAGTTTTATTTATAGCGTTTCGAAAAAACCAATCATCTAATGAGACACCGAATCAGACAGACATAGGGTTTATTTTGTTTTTAAGCCAAATTGCAATAAATCCAATAAATTTGCGCACAGGTAAATGGCAAGCTGTTGTAGCTACATAAACATTAAATCCGCATTAAAATCGGATTATCACTAAAGCAGTAAATAGTTTTTAATCCTTCTGGCATTCTCAGAATGGGTAATTATCTCCCATATGAGGAAAAATGTGGTGCCACTTAATTTCTTCGCCTAATTAGATTTTGCATGTGACTCTCATATTTAATACACGGAGATGGATCCTCGATCTAGTTAATTGGATCACAGTTTATGAGCTTAAATTAACTCAACTAGAATTGGCCAACTTTGTGCAGATATATAAAGGATGTTTTAATTTGTAATCATTGGTGATATCTTTATATATGTGGCATGTGGAGCAAGCAGGGCTATCAGATTTCATGAAAAGGAAGATTGAGAGGAATCTGTGAAGAATCGATGAAGTCGTACGATCTAAATTATGTCAAACAGCAAGTAATTTATAAGATCTCTATCTGACAGATTCAGTTCATGCATTATTACGTTATGTATTACTAAATTAATCCTATTCTTCTTATGGAAAATTTCACATGTTTTGCTTGCCGAACTGCTCCAAAAATAATGACACAAATATTTTTAAAACTTGTTTCAAAGTTCGATTAAAGCTAATGTACTATTTCAAAATCGCGACCATATTTGTGCATAAAAAGTTTTTAATTTATGATTGGTTTTGAAGGATTTAATTTTATATTTTTGCTCTTAAAATGTTTCCAACGTATTCCACTTTCTGTAATGTACAAACAGCTCTGATTTTTATTTGTGTTTTTTTTTGATGAGTTTTCAAAACAGAAGCAGCTTTTATTTTCGTCCGTCATGGATCCCAATTTGCATACGTTGGTGTTTAAATAGTTTGCGGAAATGAGCGCGCACTTTACAAAGTGTTTGGGAGGCACGTTCGTTGTGTTGTTTCTCATTCTTAATTTGATTCCATGACGAACACTAAAGGATATCGCCGCGGTACGCGGTACATGTTTGCAAGGAAATTCAGGAAACATGGAACATTGCCATTGGGGATTACTATGCGTGTTTACAAGCGTGGTGATATCGTGGACATAATTGGCGATGGTGGTGTGCAAAAGGGTATGCCGCACAAATCTTACCACGGGAAAACTGGACGTGTGTACAACGTCACAAAGCACGCTCTTGGTGTCATCGTTAATAAGCGCGTTGGGTATGTTTTTTTATTTCTTATTAATGAACATGAAGGAACCGCATTATTCCCAAACGCATCAATGTTCGAGTCGAGCATGTGCGCCCAAGTAAATGCCGGGAAGCATTCCTTAAGCGCGTGAAAAAAAATGACGCACGACGGAAGCTTGCAAAGGAGAGAGGAACTTGGTATCCTCTTAAACGAAAGGTGGGACTTCTATTTCGCCTTGACAATTTTTTAGCCTATCGGTCCAAGCCCTGCTCACCTTGTCCTGACGAAAAAGCAGCCCGTCGTTACCCTTCAACCACTACCTTACGAGCTTATTGCCTAATTAAAATTGATATTCTGGGAAATATTTGATGTTTTGACTTTTCTGAACCTACTTTGTGGGTGTTAGCTTTTCAGCTCTTTCAGTACTGCTTTTGAAATCTAGGCCATGTATGAGTCCTCTTGATGATCACCAGTCTTTTATCAGGTTACCGAATCCCTGATTTGAGACGCAAATTGTTTTGGTCGGCTGTTTGGGTATGTGTCCCATTTCTCTGTCTCAGTTTTTCTGGCTCTTCGTTCTCGCCAAACGCTCTTATATTCCGTTTGCTTAGATTTTTCCACGAAGAGGTTTCCGGTCACGCCAACGGGTTTACTCAAGGAGGTCAATCTTTGGATCAGCTTGATGAGACTTGAGATTTGAGGCTGTCCTCGCTGTCGTTTTTACGTAGTCTCGATATGTAATTCCATTATAGAAGTCCTTCTGGTCACTTTGCGGTTCGTCGTAGTTATGACTTTAACGAGTGGAGATATCGTTCTATCAGCTTGCGCTGATTTCCTGTGCTTGCTTCTCGTTGAGGTCTGCGGATTATGCATCGATGGCTATCTTTTTGCCTTGTATGTAAAACAATTGGGCGTCACCTAAAGCGTCTATCGACTCGATGATGATGTAACCGTTAATCTGCTCTGGGTTTACTGTTTGGCAATATGCGGCTGTCGTTAGTCGGGTGTTCTAACCACCCCATTTCAATAATCAATGGGGGTATTACTCCATGGCTTTCTAACCTACGTAACGGTCATCGGGACTCCCCTGTTGCGTCTTTAAGGACGATGTTTGCGTGGGGATTCCCGTATAATTCGCATGGTGATAGGGTGTTTGTCTCGGCGCAGACGGTTGTGTTCGGTGTCCTGGATGATTTAGGACGAGCGAAATACAACTGCCAGTAAGCAACTCTGACTGTCAAGGATCAATTAGCTGCTCAGATGCCAAAACAAGTCAAAATGCGTGATACCTGTCGCTTGACAACACAGCAATAGCTTATCCCATGGACATGTTTGAGTTATCACGACGTAACTGATACAATCATGAGTGGTTCGTTCCACTTTACTGCTGAAGGATCGGCAGTTGCATCACCTTACTTGACCGCTTAGATCCGACGCCAAGGACTACTATGAATTCTCTTTTCTACTTACAAACAGGACCCCCAGTGCTCCATTTTTGCAAATTCGTGATGAAATAAAATTTATGTCGGCTGCGTAATGTAAAATGTCAAGATAATCTACATTTGGTAGAAGCTTATCAAAAGAACGTATGAACAGAAAATATGGGCGCGTCTATAGTTGTCTAGATGGTGCCAGCTCTGGTGTCTGTGTGGAAGAGGAGGAGGAAGAGAAAGGTTGCTAGGACAACGGAGCAGGCGACCAGACGCTGGGCGAATCGCCTCTCCTTGAAGCGCGACGCCACCGAGTCGCTGAGGAGGATTATCGCCTGTGAAATCCTCGTCAGAATCCCCAGCGCACCCAGAAGGAGGCCAGTTAGGAAGGCCAGCAGGCCAAGCGACAGGAGGGCCGTGGTGCTGCCGAGTTCAAGGCACCTCGGAACACGTATGCCTGCGGTGACCGCAAGCCCACTGAAGGTCCCTTGTCCGAGAACTGCAGCGTCCAATGGCAGTGGACACATACCTGGACCGTTTACCACACTAGCCGGGATGCCTCGTCTGTAATCAATAAAGCGATCAACACCAGAAATCAGATTGATCTAAATTGACAGAAAAAGTCTCATTGACTCACCGCAACAGACGACAGTGTTGTTCTGCCAGTCTTTTTGCGAATTCATCGACATTGGGAGTTCCGTGGTACCAAAGTCGTTCGGCCACCGCGCTGGTCATTGGCCTGCAAGGGAGGTACCGGAATGCGCAAACTTTGGGTGTCTACTTGCTAATTGTGAGTAGCACGTGTTAAGACTGCTATGGAAGCACGTTGCGTGTACTGCGACATCGATCACAATGCTGGTTACATGGAGGCACACGACTTACCAAATGCGTTGAAGAACTGTTTCATCAGACTGCCACTCAGCCCACATACAGGCTTCCCCACCAATCACGTCGATGACCTTGTGATCAGAGTGGAAACTGGAAAAACGATCTGAAATGATAAGTGTTGTACGTTTGGTAAAGGGTTACAAGACGTGTATTTTGGCTTTGTTTTCACGTAAATGTGAATATTTTGGTGTGTTTGAATAATGAATATAACTAAACAATCATAAAACCGCGAAAACGCCCATTAGCCCACTCAAGGAAGGAATCGTTCCTGTTGAATGCGATGCCCCCTAAGGTAAAGGAATTTTAAACAAATTAAAAGGCTTTTTAACAACGTACCCATGAAGAATTCGCTGGTGTAGAGCGAAACCCAGCCAACACTGTACTCAACGAGATCAAGGTACCACCCAGCTGAGATGATCACTTTGTGTCCGAAGTAGACGGGTCTTGCATAAATATTCTTCCAGAGATGAATTATCGTATTATTCGGCAACTGGGTGTGCAAATTAAAACGGGCATTGCAAGATCAACATAAATTCACCGTTAATTTCTATATGATTAAACAAATCACCTATGCCAGATATTGATTGGCTGAATGATACGCGCGCGCCATTCGATAGTGTATCCTAGTAAACACAAGCCCACGAGACCAAGTCGTGACGAGTTGAAAAGGTCGACTTACATTAAGACCACTGTCGAAGGCGTCCTGCCAGAAGATGAAGCTTCTTTGACCACCTCGTGAAACCCTCTTGGCTGCCTTCTGAACTCTGTCTAGTAGTCTAAAAAGTATCACAAATTCGCCCTAAGTGCAGTATTCAGCTTTGTCAGCTTATAGGTCGATGATCAGCCAATCGGCCGACGAGATTGGACAACCAAAGGGTGTCGCGAAAATGAGTCGGTAAATTAACGTACCGTGTGGTGAAGCTGTCGAGAAGATCAAATGATGTAGGGAATCGGTTAGCAATCATGTACTGTTTTATAAAGGGGTTGGATTGCCTAAAACAAAAGAAGACATCTTTGTCAAATGTCGAAGCCACACATTTGCCGAGAATAACCAAACATGTCTACTAGCCATAATTAAGTAGACATTTTCAAATAATAAGAGGCACAACGCCACGAAAACACACCAGCAAGCAAATTCCACCTCGTCGAAGCCCATGTGGACGACAGCATCAGGAAAGAGCCCGACGATCTCTTCGAAGAGGGCGGAGAGGAAATCAAGGGTCTCCTGCTTGGTTGGATCCAGTCCACCATAATGTGGCGTCTCCTGGCCGTTTTCGTAACACTTTGCCAACAGTTCGGGGTGTGATTTGCCCCAGGATCGGGTGTGACCTTGAATTTGAAAATCGATAAATATTCCAATAAATAAAAACGGGGCAATAACGATGGCTCATTTTGTGGTGAAATCTGAACAGATCTAATCTGCGATGCCGACTACGAAAAATATTATCGAGGCACGTCATGAAAAACACACAAGGTCTTAGCATCCATTCATTAATGGAATAACATTTCAATTGATTTTTATCTTAAAATCGATTTAGAAAGAGCCAAATATTTCGATTTCGTAAAAGTGCAGATGCAAGATAATCAGTCGAATTTAGCGAAAGTGCTAACTACGATGATGCGGTAGACGAGAGGATTTGAAAGATGTGGTTTGCCAAGTTTCCGAAGGATCACTCAAAGGATCGTGATTCGGCGGACCGGGAGGCTGCAGTCTCACATGGCTCCATCACGTC